GAGATGATCAGCTGCAGGGAGATGTTGGAGATGATCAGCTGCAGGGAGATGTTGGAGATGATCAGCTGCAGGGAGATGTTGGAGATGATCAGGTTGTTTTGCAGCAGGTCAGTGACATGAGTGGGCACGAGAAGAGCATCTTATAGAGGCAGAGCGTCACCGATCGGAGGAAATAAACTGCATCTACAAATTGTGGAAGAATTTCATAAAACTGCACAGACTTTGAGTATCTGATCGTCTGCAAACGAGCGAACGCTGAGTTTGAGTGGTTGCAGTAAACATTTGAAGCCTAACGAGGACACTCGTGTGAATAGTGAGTGGAGGTGAGCGGTGCAGTGAGTCTTTGTTTTTGTCTTTCAGGGCCTGTTTTGGAGAACACGAGGTAAGAGCCAGCCTGGTCACAGCCTCCATCTTCACTCTTCTTCTGTTTCTTTAAACTGTAGTGACGATGATGCGGCTTAACGCTTTCAGCACTTCTTCCTCTCTGGTCATCGACACTGGTTTCCAGCACGAAGGCTCCACGTATCTGTCTTTGTAGATTTATTACTTCCTCCCTGCACTCCTCTTTTTATCTGTGCTACTTTCCCACCGTCCTTCCCCTCCTTAATGTTTTCCTTTCCATCATGTTCCCTCGTTCCAAACGCCGTTTATTATTAGTTTGTCCTTCTGACCTCCTCTTCCTCATTCACTCCTTCCTCCTTCTATTCATCTGCTTTGTCCTTCTCTGTATCTCTCTCGCTCTTTTAATTCTCTTGCGTTTCATCTCATTTAGTCGTTTGGTATTCAGCACACTCGTATACAGGCGCTCGTTCACCTCCAGACGAGGTCATCAGATCTAATGATGGAGGATCTGTGCTGAACTCTGTTTGTGCTCGGCAGGTCAGCCCGGTGCCGTGTCATCGTCAGGGTCGTTTCTCCTGCAAGCGACCCTGCGGACGACCTCTGACCTGCGGCAACCACTCCTGCAGCAGAGAGTGTCATCTGGTTAACAGCAATCCAGTAAGGACCTTGTTTAGATGTCTGTTAATGAAATCTGATGAAATGATGA